TTTGCGAATATTAAAATAAAATAAATGATTTTACTTATTAATTATTAATTGTAAAATAAAATCATGTAATTTACAGACGAAATTGTTTTGAAGATTTATTTAGTAAAAATGCTACGCATGATTTTTACCTAAAAATCTGCACAGAAATCATAGAAATTTTTCTTTGAAGTTTAGTATCATGTACGGAGATCTATACAGGAAAATTATATTGCAGACCTGTACAGATCTGATGTCTAAAAAAATTCCTGATGGAAGAGCTAATCGAGAGATATCTGAATATTAAAATCCTAAGGTCAATTAGTAATAAATATAGTAATAATTAAGTCAATTTTATTGTGATGTTTATTAAATTGTATCTATGTTTCTAAGTATAAAAACTAAATAATTCAAACAGAGGATACCAAGTGTGGACAGACTAATATCGCTAGATGAATCTAATGCTACAGTGGCTAGAGTAAGTATTTTTTAATATATGACCAGTTTAATTATTTAAATATATATTACATGTAACTTTTCTGCTATAGGCTGAGATGAAAAATCTGATTAAAGGACAGATATCAGCCAAATATCAACTGAATTATGCGAAAATGTTCTCTGAATAAGTGATAACTGTATACAAGAATCTGATCCTAGAATTGAAAAGAATGATGGAAAGTGTCTTTAATCTATCAGTCACTCAATTATCTAATTGGCTTAAAGCCATTCACAAACACATAGAGATAGATTAAAGAAAAGATAAGCTGAAATATTAGGAAAGTTGATAAAAGGTTGCATGCCAATACTCGTCTTACTGAGATAAATATTTAATTGATTAGATATATATCTATTACATTTATTTTAATACCATTGTTAATATTATTTATCAGAAAAAAATAGACGAATAAAGTTGGCATTTAACTTGTTTAAGATGCATGATAAAGTGTTTAAGGATTTAACAAGAACGAAGTCATATCTATTCTACAATAAAACGATTATCACTCACTCAAACAATCTGATTCAGAAGACGAATATTATATAAGGAACTCTGAAGAAAAAAAATTTCTTCACGTCTATGATCATCCGTGATGCTTACGAAAGGTGAATATTATTTTATAATATATGTTCATATAATATTTATTCAACTTTGTTTAAATCTTTACTTTTGATAGTTAAAGTTATTGCTTTAAGGCGTGTTATATCTAATGGCTGAACAGCAGATTTATAACAAGAAGTAATAGAAATACATATATAATGATGAGGTATACTTTATCTTAAGTAAACTACCTGAAAATATACCTAAGTAGGCGAACAATAATAACAAATATTATGAAACAGATGAAACAAATGAGATGAATGAATCTATTAATTATAATTATTTTGATGCAGAAAATAATATGAATGATAAAGATTATTTAACCAACTTGTTCTTCACAGAAGAGATTGAAGATTATGACAAAAGAAGTGAATCATCTACTATGGTATTAGCTAGAATGAATAAAATGTAACTTGACGAAATGAACGAATTTTTCACGATAACACCTGAAGTAAATGAAATAATTCATTCCATATTTTTATATTTGAGAGCCAATATTATATTATATATTATAACTAATATTAGAAAAGAGCTACTACTAATCATAAAAGCAAAAGAAAGTCTACTGAAATAGAAGATTATTAATATGACAAATAATTTGCTAATTGTATTAAGAATAATCTGAATATAATAAATATATAATATATATATAAATATTACTAAAAATTGTTAAATAGCCATATATTGGACGTGTTATACATATAATAATATATACTATGTATAAATAATATTTCTGAATTTAATTCGAATAAGTTACTAATACTGGTCAAATTTATTACTAATATTAGTTGAATAATCTGTCTGAATATACGACTATTGGCTATCTAATTGTGTCAGAACTATAAACTTCAATTTGATGCATATTAGAATGCTATTAGACCCATATTTGTCTTAACTGAATTTATGTATAATTATTATATTTTGACTGGTGATTGCTGAAAAATCAAGAATTGCATCAAAAGTTTTTGGTATATTACCTTATATAGATCCAAAATGTTTAAATAAAAATAAGGATTACAAATTTGAGAAAAAATCTGATGTCTATAGTGTTGAAGTCTTGATGTGACAAATGTCAAGTGAATATCAACCTTTTAAAGGTGTTAATGATAACATTTTAATTCTTTCTATATTAAATGGTAAAAGAGAAAAAATTATTGATAGAACACCATTTGAATATAATAATCTATATCAAGGTAAATAATATAAATAACAATTTTTATTATAAAATAAATCTTAATCCTTATTCATTCAATAGAATATTAGAAGTACGAAACTGATGAGTATTCAAAGATGCAAAGAGTCATTTCAACTCTTAAAACAATTATTACTCTTGAACATGATGAAATGATTGATATTAATCTTATTGAAGAAATTGAATTACCAATAAAAGATAAATCTAACCTTAAATCAAGTAAAGAAATAGATGAAAATTTAGAATTATCTGAAGATTTTATTTATTATTATTTTATTAATAAAAGCAATTCAAGTTTGTAAAGTGTAAAATTTTCTCAATCTAATATAATAATTAATAAAACAAGTCTTAAATTAAGCAAAAAAAAAGAGAATTTAGAAGTAACTGAGTATTCAAATCTTTATAAAAATTTTAATGTAAGCAGTTTTAGTATATGAAGTAAAATATCAATTCGATCAAGTATGATGGATTTTAAAAATCACTTAATTTCAATTTTCAAGTAAATAATCTATCAAAGGACTTAATTGATTCAATATTTATAAATAATATAACTGTTGATAAATTAATTAAATTTGTAATTAAAAAAACATAATGAAGGATTTACTTATGATCAAATTAACCATTTTATTAAGCAAATAGTATTACAATTAAATCAAATTAAAAATCTTTTAGATTAGCTAAAAAAGCAGTAATATTCATAATACAAATGGTTGCTTAGTTTATTTTATTATTTTAATATTAGTATAGATGCTCTATAAGAAATTTGTATATAGAATATATACAGAAATAATATGTTTTTAATATTCATAAATAGTATTCTATACAGATTTGGATCGATCTAAATCCAATCTGAATCTGACAGATCAGATTCATATCAGATCTGTCAGATTCAGATCTAATTCAGATTTAGATTCAGATCAAATCTGATCTGTCAGATTCAGATTCAGATTGATCTGAATTCAACTTTTTTAAAGCTGAAAAGTTCCTTTTCAATGAAAAGAGACGAATTTTTGAACTTCTTTTGAGTCAAAAATTTGTTTCCTTTCATTGAAAAGAAACGAATTTTCAGATCTCTTTTAGAACTGAAAAGTTCCTTTTATTGAAAAGAAATAACTTTTCAGAACTCTTTTAGAACTGAAAAGTTCCTTTTATTAAAAAGAAATGAATTTTCAAAACTCTTTTAGAGCTGAAAAGTTCCTTTCATTGAAAAGGAATGACTTTTCAAAACTCTTTTAGAGCTAAAAAGGTTCCTTTCAATGAAAAGGAATGATTTTTCAGAACTCTTTAGAGCTGAAAAGATTCTTTTCAATGAAAAGGAATGACTTTTTAGAACTTTTTTAAAGCTGAAAGGTTCCTTTCAATGAAAAGGAATGACTTTTCAGAACTCTTTTAGAGCTGAAAAGGTTCCTTTCAATGAAAATGAATGACTTTTTCAGAACTCTTTTAGAGCTGAAAAGGTTCCTTTTAATAAAAAGGAATGACTTTTCAGAACTCTTTTAGAGCTGAAAAGGTTCCTTTCAATAAAAAGAAATGACTTTTCAGAACTCTTTTAGAGCTGAAAAGGTTCTTTTTAATAAAAAGGAACGACTTTTTGGAACTCTTTTAGAGCTGAAAAGATTCCTTTCAATGAAACGAAATGACTTTTTAGAACTCTTTTAGAGTCGAAAAGGTTCCTTTTAATGAAAAGGAATGACTTTTTAGAACTCTTTTAGAGCTAAAAAGATTCCTTTTATTGAAAAGAAACATTTTCAGAACTCTTTTAGAACTGAAAATTTATTTTTTCAATAATACTTTTGGATTCAGATCAGAATAGATTTGGATTTAAACCAATCTGTCAGATCTGGATTTGAGATTCAATCTGTCAGATTCAGATTAGATCTGGATTTGAATGGATCTGTCAGATTCAGATCAGATTCAAATCCTAAAAAATGAAAATTAGATCAGATCAGATTTTATCCAAATCTGATCTGATCTGATTTTGTGAAACACTATTCATAAATAATGTATAATATATATATAATTATTATATATAAAAGATAAGGAAAAGACAGAATTATGAATATATAAAAATGTGTAAATTAAGCATATTATATATGTAATTCATATATATAAAATTATGTATATTATATATGTTTTATCAATATATTTTATATGTAATTTATATATGTAATTTTTATATAATTTATATATAATTAATTTATCGTAATATTACTAAATTTATAATTTATTAATATATAAATTAAAATTAATTTAATTTAAATTTATTTATTTATTTATTAAATAAAATATAATGACAATGTTAACGTTACTCTTTCCGTCGAATAAGTTAACTATGATTTGAAGTCAAGGAGATAATAGCTATAACTTAAATTCAATCAACTTAACACGCTGTTTATTAAAGAGTTTATTTAGTTAACAAGAATAAAGTTATAAGTTTTATGTTTGCAAAATGTTAAGTGTGTTTATTATTGTTATTAAATGTATATTGAATACAATGTTAAGAACTTGTTAGAATCTGTCCTTTTTCCAGGGCATATTCATGTTCTTTATATAAGAAAATTACAATTAAAGAAAATCTATGGTATTTATGATATTATTGACAATAATAACAGAGCTAACAGATATGCTAATTATGTTAAATATAATATAAATGATAATAATAACAGATATAATAAAGATACAATAAATGATATTTGTGTCCTATTTGGCAGATATGGCATATTTAGCAGATCTGGTATATTTGGTAAATCTGGCATATTTAGCATATATGTCATATTTGACAGGTCTGTCAGTTTCTGCCAGTTTCAATGTGATCAATAATCTAATCTGACTAAAATAACTCCACTTTAGAAAAATTTTTTATTAGGCTATTTTAAAGTTATTTGATCAGCATTTAATCGTCAAATCCAGTAACTAATCAAAATTTATGATCAAAATTATAATCAATCATAAAATTGATTGATTATTATAAACTTTTTTATAAAAAATAATTTTATTTAATATTAAAACATAAAAGATTAGAAATTTTATTTTCTTTTTATGTAATTTAAACTCATCAAAATATAGAGAATAAAGATTTTTCAAATAAATATAAAAAAATGAAATGTTAATACTTAAATTAACTTTATTACTTGGTATATAATATTTAAAGCAAAAAATTATAATGTAATAAAATCAAAAAATTGATATCATAATTATTTAAAATGAAGTGAAAAATAATATATACAGTTTCCACTAAAAATAATAGCAGTAAGGACATCATTTCATTTTTTAACCGTAGCATTTCTATTATTCTGATTTGATCCATTGTTTATTAAGCCAAATTAGATATTAAAATG